CTAAGGGATGTTTCATCATAAAGCCATAATTCTAAATGTATATGCATCTAATAACATAGCCTCAAGATACATCAAGAAAAAATTGAAGAAACTCTGAGAAATACATAAATGTATCACACTAGTTAATGTTCAAAAGCACCTCCCTCAGTAACTGATAGATCAAGCACAGAAAAGAATCAGTAAATACAAGAATTAACAGTTAACAAGCTTCATCTAATACTAAAGAGTGCATCCCAGTAAAATTTATAACCCTGAATTCTTAAACTGCATTATACGCACAGAAAAAAAAAAAAAAGACAATGTGCAAAGGAGGAAGATAATAATAAAGAGCAGAAATTAATGAAAGAAAACAATATTTGTTCTTTGAAAAGACAGTCAAGAAAAATTAATCAAAACTTAATAGTCCACAAAAAGAATTATCAGATGTCCTTTAAGAGTAGTGCCAAATATGCACCACTGACTGCCTTCTATTGAGTATTTTACCACTATGTAAAAATTAACTTATAGAAAACTAATAACAAATGCAAATGAACTCTGAACAACTGAGAAGTTATCTCTATCAGAGTAGAAAAGATAACTCCCAAACTTATAGTCTATTACCCCAGGATATTAATCATTTTACATCCGTTAGTAAATTTATTTAAATATTCCTTTGGCCAAAAGACACCATATAACTATTTTCTTCAAAATTCTATTAGAAGCAGTTTTAACATTGTGCTGGTTTCCTCAATTAATAATTTAAATAAAATCTTAGACTACATTTGCCGAATAGGTTTTTAACATTAAAAAAAAAGTTATGCTTTCACACAGGGGTCAGGAAAGTTTTTCTGTAAAAAGCCAGAGACCAAATATTTTATGCTTTGTGGGTCATATGGCTTGTGGTGCAACTATTCAATTCTGCCTTTATAAGCTCAAAAGCAGCCACACATGACATGTAAACGAATGTGTGCAGCTGTGTTCCAATAAAACTTTATTTACAAAAAACAGGTGCTGCAGTTTGCTAACTCCTACTTTAGCAGGACTAAAAAAAATGTCTGTAAACCTCTAGTAAGAAAAATTTAAAAAATAAGAATTTTTTCATTAAAATTATCAAGAATAAAAGAAATATATCTACAGTTACTGGAGACATTTAGAAGAGGACATTGAAAAATTGTGTCAATGAACTTGAAAATTTAGATGAAATGGACAAATTCCTACAAAAATATAACTTCCTATAAATTAAGATAAAATAGAAAATCTTAACAATTCCATAACCTTTAAACTTTTTAAAATAGTGGTTAAAAATCTTACCCCAAAGTCTACTACAGGTCCAGGCAATTTTAGCCACAATTCTACCACACGTTCGAGAAACAAATAATTCCAACCTTACAGTAACTATTTTAGTGTATATAACAATTGGTGGGAACACACATTTTACAAGACGGGAACGCATCAAAATCAGACAGAAACAATGTGAAAAAGGAAAACTACTCATGACTAGAGATGCAAACATTCTAAAAAATATTAGCAAACCGAACGGTAATTTATACAATGGGATACATCATGACTAAATTGGATTTATCTCAGGAATGACAAAGTGGCTTGGCATTAAAAAATATAAATGTAATTTCCTACATTAACAGAAGGAGAAAAATAAAGATGGTCTCAAATGATACAGAAAAAGTATGTGAGAAGTCAACATCCATTTCAGAGTGAATTTCCTTAATGCCAAACATTTATCAAATAACATACTTAATGGTTTGAATGGAAAAAAAGCATCTTCTTCAGAACTAGGGATAAGTGAACCCTCTATCACCATTTCTACTCAATTGGCTTTTTTTTTTTTTTCTGAGGTCCTGGCCAGCACTGTAAAGCAAGAATAAAAGATAAAAATATAAGGATTGGAAAGGGAGAAACAAAACCATTACTATTTGCAGATAATATATTTGTTTTATGCAGAAAATCCCAAAAAATCTATAGAAAAATGTTTGAATGGAAAAGGGAATTAAGTAATATTACTGTATATGCAATGAGTATATACCAAAAATAAATTAGAAATTATACAATTTTAAAAGGAAGAAAATTATAATAGTACCAAAACGTATAAAGTGCCTTGGGATAAATCTAACAAAAGATGTGTAAGACCTTTACAGATAAATCTCTAAAAGTTTATTAATTCAATGTAATCCCTATCAAAATGCATTTTTTTGTTAGAAGTCAACAAGCTGATTTTAATTTATATGTAAGAGCAAAGGGTTCTAAGACCCACCTGAATAATAAAAGGTGGGAGACTTTGCTTATTATTATAATGCTAAAGGAATCAAGAACAAATGATAACAGTGTAGGAAGAGACAAACACAGAAATGTTTTGTAACAGAATGAGCACGGTCCATGGGGGGGGAAGAGGATGAAGTTTTCACTAAATGGTTCTAAGACAAGTAATGATCCACACAAGAAAATGAAACTGAACACCTATGTCACACCAACAAAAGTAAATTCCAAATAGATTAAAAGTTAAATGTGAAATAAAAACCATGAAACTTTAAAGAGACAAACTATGAAAATATCTGTGAACTAAAATAAAATTTTAAGGCTCACCCCCCCCACCGGCTGACTAAATGGACCCCCTCGTGGCCAAAGGAATACCCTAAAACTAAATTGCCTGCCAGGAGAAAGGAGGTCAGACATGCCTTATCATGCCCCCCTCCCTTCTTGGTGACATCCTTTGTAACCCCATTAACAGGCCTAAGGGTATGCAAGACAAACCTGCAGGCCCTCAATTTACACAACAAATCTATGTCCAGTGGCTTATCTCTGATAAAGAGCTCCTTATGTTAAAACATTCCAAGCCTCTAGACAAAGCTTCATGTCTTTAGCCAATTACAGGCCAAAGAATCTTTTAACCACCTATAACCTGTAAGCCCCCACTTCGAGATAGCCCACCTTTGCGGGCCAAACCAATGTATGCCTCCCACGTATTGATTTATGACTTTACCTGTAACCCCTGCCTCCCTGAAATGTATAAAACCAAACTGTAACCCAAGCTCTGCGAGTCCACTGCTCAAGACCTCTTGCGCGTGGCTCCGGGTCATGTTCCTCAAATTTGGCTCAGAGTAAATCTCTTTAAAATTATTTTACAGAGTTTGGTCTTTTTTTCCGTC